GTTATTTAGCCTTCATGTGTTGAAATGTCTTTGCATGTTCTTATTGCAATTGATTTCTAGTTGCATGCCATTGTGATCTGAGAAGATGCTTAATATGATTTCAATCTTCTTGAACTTGTAGAGATTTAGTTTGTGTCCTAACATATGGTCTATCTTTGAGAATGTCCTATGTGCACTTGAGAAGAATGTGAATTCTGTAGTTTTGGTGTATAATTCTCTGTAGATATCTATTAAATCCATTTGGTCTAGTGCTTCAGTTAGAGTCTCTGTTTCCTTGCTAATTTTTTGTCTAGAGGATTTATCCAGTGATGTCAGTGGGGTGTTGAAGTCCTCTGCTATGATTGTATTGCTGTCGAATTCTCCTTTGAAGTCCTCCAGAAGATTTTCAATATATGTTGGTGCTCCTATATTGGGTGCATATATGTTTGTCAAGGTTATATGTTTCTGTTGGATAGATCCTTTCAATATTATGTAGTGGCCTTCTTTGTCTCTAGTTATGGCCTTCATTTTGAAATCTATTTTATCAGATATGAGTGTTGCTACCCCAGCTTTTTTTTCTTTCAGTTTGCTTGGAAGATTTTTTTCCATCCCTTCACTTTCAACCTATGTGAGTCTTTTGTTGTGAGGTGGGTCTCTTGTAAAGAACATATAGATGAATCATGCTTTCTTATCCAATCAGCTACTCTCTGTCTTTTTATTTTATTTATTTTTCAATTAAAAAAATTTTTTTGTTACACATGTTTCTTCTTCTTTACACCTTCCCATCGCCCCCCCCCCCCCCGGCTTTGTCTCCAGCTTTGTTGTCCATGTCCATTGGTTATGCATACATGCATATAAGTTTTGTGGTTTATCTCTTCCCACACCCCCTCCTCTCTGTCTTTTTATTGGAGAATTCAGTCCACTTACATTTAAGGTGATTATTGATATGTACTTATTTATTGCCATTTTTGTTTAGTTTGGTTTCATTTTTCTTTCTATTTCTTCTAATAATTACAGCAGTCCTTTTAACATTTCTTGCAGTGCTGGTTTGGTGCTAATGTATTCCCTTATCTTTTTTGTTTGTTTGTTTGTTTTTGTTTGGAAAGCTCTTTATTTGACCTTCTATTTTGAATGATAGCCTTGCTGGGTTGAGTAGCCTTATGGAGATTCCTTTGTTGGTAACCTGTTGCTTATCTCTTACTGCTTTTAGGGTTCTCTCTTTGCCTTTAATTTTTGGCATTTTAATTACTATGTGTCTTGGTGTAGACCTGTTTGCGTTTTTCTTACTTGGGGCTTTCTGTGCTTCTTGAACTTGAATGCTTTCTTCCTTCACCAAATTAGGGAATTTTTCTGTCACTATTTCTTCAAATATATTTTCTAACCCTTGCTCATTTTCTTCTTTGGGGACTCCTATGATGTGAATGTTATTACGTTTCCAGTTGTCCCACAGTTCTCTTAAGCTGTCTTCCTGCTTTTTAATTGTTTTTTCCTTTTGGTTTTCTGATTGGTTGATTTTTTCTACCCTGTTTTCTAATTCACTGATCCGGTCCTCAGCTTCTTCTAGTCTGCTTTTTAAACCTTCCAATGTGTTTTTCATTTCTGATATGTCATTCTTCATTTCTTCTTGGTGGTTTTTAATTTCCAATTGGTTGATTTTCAATATTTTTATATCTTTACTCATGGTGTTGATGTCCTTACTCATGCTATTGAGCTTCCTCAAGATCATGGCTCTGAATTCTAGCTCTGTTAACTTGGTTAACTGCTCCACATTTATCTCATCTTCAGTAGAGGTCTCTTGTTCTTTCATTTGGCTTTTGTTTCTGTGTTTCACTCTTTTGGCTATTCCAGTGGGCTTTGGAGCCTGCCAAATTTCCCTGTGGGTGTTGATGTTCTGCTGTTTGTGACTCCCTCTCCTGGGTTTGGATGAGCGAGGAAAGACCCACGTTAAACACCACTGTCAAGTCTTACTTTTCTGGTTAGAGTTGCTAGCTGAGGAATGGTTCAGTTATCCTGTAGTTTTTTGCCTGGAGGTTATCAGTAGTGGTTATTCCCTCAGGTGCTCAGTGTAAGGGGATTTCTCAAGGGTGGGGCAGATGCTGGTTATTAATGAGCCTCAATTTGCATTTCAATGGCCCACCTGGGTAAGGTTGAATCTCTGAGGGAGTGGCCACTGCCTCTCCCCAGAGCCCTGGGAAGGAGTAAGATGGCCACCATCCTGTGTGGCTGCAACTCAGCAAAAGCTCTGAGCGCCTTCCAAATCCTGAGTGTCCCCACACAATTCCAGTCCCGTCTGCCCTCCCTCTGCCTTAGTCCAAGGTGAGTGGCTATGGCTATTTTAGCATCCTTCCTGGCTCTGTGCTGTGGAGCCACTTAGGTGTTTAACCCGAGAGCGCTGCTCATAGCTAAGGCCACTGCTGTCTGTGGTCTCCCAGCCCCCTCTCATACCTCTGCAATCCTACCAGGATGGAGTCAGTGTCCCTGGTTATATGGGTTACATGATCCTCGCAAGCTGTTTTTCTGTTGCTTTTTCCTGATGATTTGTCTTTATTTTAGTTGTAATTCCAGTTTGGTCCTGGGAGACAGTCTGCATAGCTTCCATTCACTCTGTCGCCATTGTGGAATTTAAATAAAAATTTTTTTTAATTGATTTTAGAGAGAGGGAGAGAAACATTGATTGGCTACCTCCTGCATACCCCTCACTGGGGATTTGGTCCACAACTTGGGCATACCTGGGCATGTGCCCTGACCAGGAATTGAACCTCTTGGTGCATGGTTCAGTGCTCAATCACTGAGCCACACGAGCAGGGCAACCAATTTTTGTCTATATGCCCATTCTTGCCAGATGTAGAAATTTACATAAGGCACCTTCATGTAGATTAATTCTCATTAAGTGAATTAGTATTTACATTTTTTTTTTTTTTTTTTTATCCTCACCCGAGGATATTTTTCCATTTTTTATACAGATAGAGTAGGAGGGAGAGAGAGGAAGGGAGAGGGAGAGAGAGAGAGAGAAACATCGACGTGAAGGGACACATCGAGTGGCTGCCACCCGCACGACCAACCAGGGCCGGGGACAAACTGCAACCAAAGTACGTGCCCTTAGCGGGAACCGAACCCGGGTCTCTCCAGATCGCACGCCGACGCTCTAACCGCTGAGCCAAACTGGCCAGGGCCATTTTTTTTTTTTTTTTTTTTCATCTTTTTTCTCCTTTCCACCTCTGCTCCTTAGGGCTGGGTCCTTGAAGATATGGCCATTTTGACCTTTGCCTCCTGTTCATGAGTTCAGACTTTCTATATGCAGATTGAGATCTGGACTCAGAGCTGTTACTTAAGCAACAAGACTTGGAGTCCTCTGTATCCCTTTGGAGACAAGGAAAATTTGGAAGGCTGGCCCCAGATTTCTCACGTCACATTCCTATTGCACCTCACACCTTGCACACAAACACACTACATACATGTGTGCTTGTGAGCACAGACATGTCTTTGTGACTGTTAACTTTAATTTCCAGATGGAAAAAAAATGCCTCTTCTCAGTCCCCTTTGTCATGAAATTCAACTGAGGCAGAGTATACAGCTCCAACTTGTCTCTTCCTTGAAATAACCTTCTGAGAGCATGGGACAGAGATAGTTAAGGGGGGATCGAGTAAGATAGTTAAAACTTCACAGTAATTTGGGGGGTAGGTTTGTGGATTTTAGGGAGAATAGGGAAATGTAACTTTAGATTTTATTTTGCCAAGGGCAGTAAAGAGGGTAAATAAACTATCTTAGTGGTAGACTAGGGCTCATTTTATATAAAGAAAATGCTAAGTTTATTTTAGTGTTAGAAGAGGGGACTATCTATAAGCAGAACTGGAAAGCAAAGTAAAATCCCCAAATTAATAAAAAGAAGAAGAAAATAAAATAGAAACGTGAGCAATGCAGAAAAGAAAAAAGTTAAAAAAAAATTAAAATTACACACAATAATAAGGAATAAAGTGTATATTATTTATTACACTGAAAAAATGAACACTAATAATCATGCCTTTTGGCTTAATCCTCTGAATTAAGAACATTAACAATAATTTGCATACAAATTTCCAAAACACAGATGAATTACTTTACATACACATTTTAAGCATATTATGACTCAGAAATAACCTTGAACATTTTTAAACAGCAAAAATACACAAAACAGTTACAATGGGAAATACCACTGGCAAAGCGCTGTGATTTTTTAAAAAGATTTATTTAAAAAAATATTTTCTTTTATTAATTTTAGAGAGAGAGGAAGGGATGAGAGAGAACATAGACTGGCCGCCTCCTGCATGCCCTCCACTAGGGATCGGGCCCACAACCTGGCATGTGCCCTGACCGGGAGGGAACAAGCTGGGACCTCTTTGTGCATGGTTGATGCTCAACCACCGAGCCACACTGGCCAGGCAGCGCCCTGTGTTTTTATCCCAGAGACACATCATAGAAATCTCAGATTCAGAAAGATTTGAAAAATGTTTTCTACATTAAAAGGTATTTTTTGGGAGTGAAGATGGTAATAGCTTTGGCTTAAGATAGCCAGCAGTTTGAAGTTATTCAACTTAGAACCAGGAGGCAGCAGCCCCGCGGAGTCAGTGCGGAGTCAGCACGCTGAGGCAGGAACCCAGGCAGGAGTGCACCTTGGTCTCCTCACTCCCTTCACAAGGTGACTTCAGGTTCCCACTGTGAAAGGGCTGCTGAGTTCCTTGTTTCAGACGGGTAATCCGTTGGATGGTGTGAGTGACTTTTTCATCTTAACTGCAATGAATAATAATTTCTGAAATGCTTGTCCATTTTAAAACATGCATGCCTGTCTCCTAACAGACGAAGCAGCAGGCACTGTCTGGAGTCTGAGGGTAGCATCTGCCCCACACCAGTCTGTGGGCCCTGGATGCAGGAAGCATGGAGGGTGGTGTCGAGCAGCCTGGGGTTTGGCCTGTCAGTGGCACCATGGAGTTGATTGTAGTCATCACAATCATCACTGTACTCTTCTTTTTCTTGATATTATAATCTCACTGGAGGCTTTTTATTAATACCTTATTCCTATAAAGTAAATGAAATGATTGTCATCTTTTGAAAACACAAACAAGAAATACCAAGAAACCCACTGCTGGAACGCCAATAAAACTGCCCTTAAACTTCAGGATAGTGGGCGGAAAGCATGTGACCAGGTCCTCCCAGGCGAGGTTTGCCCCTGCCACGCTCCTGTTCTGTGTGTGCAGCCACGAGCAGGAGAGGGCCCAGAGTGATTTTTTAAAAAACCATTTTCCCAGTGACTCCAGTATGCCATTAAAGAGCTACCCAAAGTGACCTCAATTATATTTAACTTTCTTGGCATAGAATTGTGGCAAGAGGCAGGACAGCCAGAAAGGGAAAAGACAAGTGTACCCTCACTGTGCCAGGTCCCAGGGGACTGCTGCTTTTATGATGGAGGGAGAGCCCGCCCTGAGGGCCCATCCACTCAGACTGCTATCCTCTACCAGCTGTGCTAGATCTCCAGTGCCAGTACATGACACCAAGGGAGTGGAGGGTGAGCAGGAGATGGAGAGGAGTCCAGGGTGGTTCCTTGCAGCCCAGTGGTGAGGGAACGGATCCCTAGGAGCCAAGATGGGTCTGCACCAGGTTCCTCTGTTCAGAGGGATTCTCTTCTCCCCATCTTCCTTCTCCATAATGAAAATTCCCTCGAAGCATCCTATTGCTCCACTTCCCCATTTGTACCTTCAGAAAGTACCTCCAATTGCAGTTCTTACTTCTTTCCTCCTGATTCAACCATCACCAAATTGTCTGCATCCTTAAGTGCTTAGAATCTTTTTTTTTTTTTTTCTCCTCACCCGAGGACATTTTTCTATTTTTTGTTCAGATAGAGTGGGAAGTAGAGAGAGACAGAGAAACATCGAAGTGAAAGGGACACATCGAGTGGTTGCCACCCGCACAACCCAACCAGGGCTGGGGACAAACTGCAACCGAGGTACATGCCCTTAGCGGGAACCAAACCAGGGTCTCTCTGGACCGCAGGCCAATGCTCTAACTGCTGAGCCAAACCGGCCAGGGCGGAATCTTATATCCTTTAAGCAAGTGTATTATTTGTACCTTCGTCAAACTTCACTTGGAATTAAGGTTTCCCTATACAAACTCTCCCATTAACTCCCTATTTATTCCAGCTGCTCACATTTCTCTTCTGCCTCCTTTAACAGGTCTCCCCAGTACTGCTGTTCCTTGAAGCTCTGTGCTCAGCCCCACTGCAACTATTAGTATCTTTATCAATATTTAAATAACCGCCAAATAATGATCTAGAAGCCAGATTTTATTTTATTTTTGGTACCTATACAAGGTGCCAGGCCCATTAAACATGAAAAACTCAATTATCCCACAAGACTTTTCTAATAGATCTTACATCCTTCCCTCCTAAGTCCACTTACCTGCTTAAAACCCTTCAGTGGCCCATCACCCAGGAATGAGCTGCCTGACTCAACTCCTTGTTCATCCCCCAACAGAAATTATTTGCACAATTTTGCAGATGTACATTTTTTTGTTTTCTCGTTTAATTTTCATAATATTTTTAGGTAGGCACTATTATGCACATTTTGTAACAGAAACGGAGGTTTATTTTCCACCATGTTCTGTCACATTGAACTAGTTGCGGTATCTATGTCGTCCTAAGTTCTTTCACAGCCTTGGCTCAGGTCCCTGTTCTGAAAAATGATCTTACCGCTTTTCCTCTAGTCAGCTCTTCCTTTACATTAAGAATTTTGCCCTGCCTGGTTTGGCTCAGCAGTTAGTGTCAGCCCATGGACCAAAGACTGGAGGGTTCGATTCTGCTCAAGGGCGAGCAGGAGGCAAACAATCGATGTGTCTCTCTCACATTGGTATTTTTTCTCTCTCCCCCTCCCTCCCACTCTATCTGAAAATAAATGGAAAAATATCCTTGAGTGAGGATTTAAAAAAAAAAAGAAACCTCTTTTGCCCAGCTGGTGTGGCTCAGTGGACTGACTGAGGTCCCAGTTCGATCCCCAGTCAGGGCACATGCCTGGGTTGCAGGCTAGATTCCCAGTAAGGGGTGTGCAGGAGGCAGCCAATTGATGCTTCTCTCTCACATGCATATTTCTATCTCTCTCTTAAAAAAAAAAAATCAATAAAAACATATTAAAAGAAGAAAAAAAAATAGAAATCTCTTTTTTGATACCAGTCACCACATGGCACTATAGCTGTTTACAACCCAATCATCCCCATTAGACTGTAGGCTCCTTAAAGCAAGGAGTTTTCTGCATCATTACTTCTGTGTAGCACATATACTTGGAATATAGTAGTTATAAATGTGTTTCTCTAGAATTATGAGTCTCTAGAAAGACACAAATGCTCTTTTTTTTTCTAAGTATATACTAATGGGTAATAATTTTCTTGAAACTCTTTACTGATAACTTATGCTTGAAATACATGCTAATGAAGACGAGGAAACATGCATCTCTCCTCTCCTCAAAACAAAAACCCAGGTGCCCCACTTAGTTTGCAGAAAAGCACGAGGCGATTACCTATGAATGCACTTGGGGCACAGCATGTTGTCCTCCAGGTGCGGGGGTGGGAAGGTGCAGGCAGGTAGCAAGAAGAGCGCACACACTTTCCCTTGTTTCTCAGGAACCCAGGCTTGCCCAGCATAAAACTGCAGCTGAACCCAACCGTCTGTGTCTGCAGGGAGACTTCGTCCATGGACCACACACCACCTGACATCTGGGGAAGGAAAGAGGTACAGATGAACAGGGTGGGACCACGTTACCATGTTTGAGATGGCATGGCGGTCTTTGATTCTTTCTATTAACCTGCTCTCTCTAGAAAACAATGCAAGACAGCTCCTCTTACAACTTAACAAAGAAACACAAACTACAGTGGGAAGTGGGTAGGTGGCGGTGAGTGTACCTGTCTTAGGCTTTCAGCCAGAGTCCTGAACAGAAAGACAGATTAATAAGAGAAAAACAGTTTATTAATGGAGGAAGCATACACCAGGTAGGAGAAAATGCAACAAAAAGGAACCCAACATGAACACCTTCTACAAAGAACAATGAATTTGTGGAGAAATGACAGGTCAAAGAAAAGCAGTTTCAGGCCCCTAAGGGTGTGTACTGTGGGGGGTAAGTATGTGGGAGGGAACTAGAGGGAGGGAGGCTTGCTTGCATATTCCTCTGGTATCACCTGTCGATAAGAGTATCTCCAGCAAAAGGAGAATTTATAACCTGCCTTTAGGCGGAAAAGAGGACTTTTTTTTTGAGTTAGAGTAATCTCTTCTCCTCAAAATAATTTATTTATTTTTTTATGTCAAAGAGGTATTTTGGGGGATGACCTATTCTGATTTCCTTCAGTGGAAAGATTAAAACAGAGAAGTCAGGAATGGCCTTCGTGAAATAGGTCCATTGGTGAACACATCTCACAGGCTACTTATTGAATGCAAAGAGTTTATGGTCTTCCTTAACTATATCTTCTGTAATTCTTATAACAGTATGAGGTAGGCATTATAAGCATTATTAACCGATTTTACAGTGGGAAAACTGGGAACTAGTCGAAACAACTTGTCAGCGTCTCTCACTTAATGGGTGTTAGAAGATCCAGGGTTTCGGCTCAGGCAGTTGATTTCAGAGCCTGCCCTTACTTCTAATTCCTTAAAGAAGAGGAAAGAACTTAATTCAAACAGATTGATGACATCAGTAATTTGGAGCAGTGGTTCTCCAAGAGTGGTGGTCCTCTGACCAGCATCATCAGCAGTGCCGGGAAAATGGTTAGAAATGCAATTTCAACTGATGAACAAAATAGATCCAGAGACATGGAAGTAGAGAACAGACTGATGAACCTCAGAGGGAAGGGGGGAGGGGGGCAGGAAGAGATAAACCAAAGAACTTCTATGCACAACCAATGGACACAGACAATAGTGTGGTGAAGGCCTGGATGGGGGGCAGGAGCTGGTTGGAGGGGGTCTGGGGGGCAGGGGAGGGGACATCTGTAAAAATTTCAACAATAAAGATACACTAAAAAAAGAAAGAAATGCAGGTTCTCAGGCCCCCCTCAGACCTGAATCCGAAACTGGGACAAGGCAGGCAGCAGTGTCAGGTATCACCAGCCTTTCAGATCATTTTGATACACTCTAAAGTTGATCAGCGATGAACAACAATTCAACTTATTTCCTCATCTGAACCAGAACCAGCTTTGGATGTTGGGCTTACCAGAGGCCTCCTGTGGTGACGCAGCGGGCTCCACCTTCCCAGCCTGGGCTGCAATTCTGCTCCAGGAGGCAAACACAGCCTCCGGGGTGGCAGAGGTCATGAAAACATTGTCCATTCCCTCAAGGAGAGCAGTGGCCCCTTCGAGAGCAGGCACCCCCTCCTCAGTGGGAGCAATCCCTTCCGGAAGACCCAAACTTTCCAGAGTCGTTTCCCCCTTCTCCATCTTCAGTTTTCTCTGTGATTTTGTCAACATCTTGGCTTCCTTTGCTGTGGCGGGAAAATCCTACAGATAGGGTTGGAAAGATTAAAGTGCACATTGGGCCCTGGCCAGTTTGGCTCAGCAGTTAGATCATCGACCTGTAGTCCAGAGAGACCTGGGTTCGGTTCCCGCTAAGGGCACGTACCTCGGTTGCAGTTTGTCCCCGGCCCTGGTTGGGTCATGCGGGTGGCAACCACTTGATGTGTCCCTTTCACGTTGATGTTTCTCTCTCTTACTCTCCTTCCCACTCTATCTGAACTAAAAATGGAAAAATGTCCTCGGGTGAGGATAAAAATTAAAAATAAAATAAATAAACTGCTCATTGGAGAGCAGCCTTGTTTTTATAGCTCTTTGCAGAGGTGGTGAAAAGTGAGCACTAGGATGTTGTGTCTTCTTACAAGGAGGGGAGGGGGAAGGAGGGGCCGGGACTAGTCCTCTCCTCCCATTTCCATACTAAACTAGGTAATGAGGATGAGACCCAAGCTTTCACTCTGCCAGTTCCCTACAAATCACTCACCTTTTGATCACGGTAAGCATATTCACACAGCCTCTTATATCCTTCCAATTTCTAGGCCAAGAGAAAAACAAGTTAATAATTAAAGGAAGGTCCCCACCCTCTCTTCCAGCAGTACTAACACCCTGGGCCCTCACCGAGCCTCTGGAGCTCAGCTTTAATTGTTGGCACCAAGACCTCACGATGTCTCGGTGAAGCAGGTTAACTGGCGGCAATTTAACGGGCAATGGAGGAACTGGTATCTTCTTGTGAATTCTTATTCTTTTATTGCCCGGCTCCATCTTCTGTGGACAGGCAGCTGAAGAATGAGATAAAATTAGTAATAATTAACTTTTGTGTAACCCTTTAAAATATCAAAAGCACAATCACTTTTAGTTATCATAGTCCAGTCTCCATTGTATAGTTAAATGACTTACCAAAGACCACAAAAGCTCGAAGGGATGGACCTCAAACCTAGGACTTAATGCTTCTGAGTTCCAGTTTTTACTTCCTATAATTCCCCCTACTCCCCTGTACTGACACACACCTGTGAGCTCCTTAACACAGGAACTCTGAAGAGGTTGCCTGGAGATTGTACTTCCATTCTAGGGGAAGGAGAGAAGTTTTAGACCTGAGATCATATTCGGTGATACCTTGTCCTCTCACACACCAGATAAGCCACTCAGCAATGCTACAAGCACAACCACTATTACCCATCAATCTGCCAGTCCACCCTACGAGGGGAGCACTGGTCTCCTAGCCCACAGGTCTACTACTGCACCTCACACATCCACACCGTTTCAGCAAAGACTTACAGAACCCAGCTCCAGAACAGACACAATTATGTTGACACTAAGAATTGCTAGCATTGACTTCTGGTCAAGATGGCGGGGTAGGTAAACGTGGTATCACGTCCTCCCCCAACCACATCAAAGTTACAACTAAACTACAGAACAACCATCATTCAAAACTGCCTGAAATCAAGCTGAATGGAAGTCCTACAACTACGGAATTAAACCAGCAGCCACATCCAGACTGGTAGGAGGGGCGGAGGTGCATAGACTTATTGAACTCACTCCCTGTAAGCTTAGAGGGGAGGCAGCTCGAGGGGCACCAGAGACATACAGGGAAGAGCTGAGCTGTTTGGCATTGGAGCGAGGGCTAGAGAGGGGGCTTTCGCCAGGACAAACATGCTGTCAGAGGTCTTAGATCCTTTGGTGAGCCCTTCCCTGGGGCGGCAGACAGCAGCCATATCTGGGACTCCAGGAACCTGGCTCACACTGGTAGCCCCACCCTGGTGACTCCCTGAGGCCCTGCCCCACCCAACTTTCAGGCCCACCCAAGCTATTGCTGGTTGCTTAACCATAGGATTGGCCTGTCTTGGATCCTGCTTCAGGTTTTCCTAAATTCTTTCAAACAAGCAGCATCTGGTCTCAGATAGCCCCATACCGCTCATTAAGTAATACACAGAAACAAACACAGGGAGGCAGCCAAAATGAGGAGACAAAGAAACAGGTTCCAAATGAAAGAACAGAACAAAACCCCAAGAAAAGAACTAAGCAAATGGAGATAAGCAACCTAACAGGTGCTGAGTTCAAAATACTGCTTATAAGGATGCTCAATAAACTTAGTGAGAACCTCAGTGAACTTAGTGAGGGCCTCAAGAGCATAAAAAAGGACCAGTCCGAAATGACCTGTAGAAATAGCCACCAGGCTTCTTAAACCCAAGACAATGGGATTTGAGAAGTAGTGCTCCTTTTACCTTTGTCATCTTTCATAGATCTCTTCCGTTTGGTCTCCTTCCCTGAGGTTCCTTGTGTACTTGGTTCATCAGCAGCCTGATTTTTCTCTTTAACTTCTACTGCTTGGAAGTCTTTGCAAGACTTTTTGGCTCCCCCTGACTTCTTTGTGGAGTTCTGCTGGGGAAAGAGGAGACAGTGAGTCATTCCTCTGGTGTCTGACCCCCCCAAATCACATTACCTGCCTTAAGGTAACCCACACCCAAGACACCAAGGCCATCACTAAACTCTGCAGGCAGTGTGTGTTCTCTGGGTAACATCCTAATGCCCAGGTTTATTCATAAGAAAGATAGCAAAGCAATAATGGAGAAATGGGAGAAGGCCAATATAAAAGTATGTAAAAAGACAGGAAATATGGCTACAAATAAAATAGAAGAAACTGCCGTGGCCAGTTTGGCTTAGCAGTTGGAGCGCCGACCTGCAGACCAGAGTCCTGGGTTCGGTTCCCGCTAGGAGCATGTACCAAAAAAAAAAAAAAAAACAGAAGAAAATGTGCTCTGCTTAGATTACTCTCATTTTCCCTATCTCTCACCTGGAAGATTTTATTTTTTTTTTATCCTCACCCAAGGATATTTTTTGATATTTTGTTCAGATAGAGTGGGAGGGAGAGAGAAACATCGATGTGAAAGGGACACATTGAGTGGCCGCCACCCACATGACCGAACCAGGGCCTGGGACAAACTGCAACCGATGTACGTGCCCTTAGCGGACACCGAACCCGGGTCTCTTCAGACCATAGGCCAACGCTCTAACCACTGAGCCAAACTGGCCAGGGCTTACCTGAAAGATTTTATTCCCCCCATTGCTTTTATATATATATATATATTTTTTTTTTTTTCTTTTTTCTTTTTTTCTTTATTGATTTTTAGAGAGGAACGGAGAGGGAGAGACATGCATGCTCCCCATTGGGGATTGTGTCCACATCCTGGGCATGTGCCCTGACCGGGAATCGAATCAGTGACCTCTTGGTGTATGGGCCAATGCTCAACCACTGAGCAACACCAGCTGGGCTTTCCTCCCATTTCTTTACTCTTGACCTCTTCCAAATAAATGTTTCCCAGAGGGATGCAACACATCCATTCACTGGAGTACCGTTCTTAGCAGGGATCTATGCAGATAATCAAAGACCCTTACACAACCTACCACCAGCCTCATCTCTTCCGCTCCAGCTTGTTTTCTGACCCAAGTTCCAGTCACAGCATTCCTTTCTTTCCCCCCCAGTTTCTCTGACCCAAAGAGATTTCCCTCAGCTCCAACTCTACCCACTTCTATTTACATCTTAAAGTCTTACTCTTTTAGAATCTCTCAACAGGTCAGTTCCTCTGGCAACCGTGTCTCCGCTTTACAGACCAGTCAAATCTACTACACATTTCCTCATTCCTGCCACTTGTCAGTTGCAGTTTTACGTTTGTCTGTGATTTGATCAATACCTGTTACTCCATTTCACTGTACACTCCACAAGGGTAGAATTTCTTTTCCTTTCCTTGTAGGTGCTCAAAAATTATTGCTTAATTGAATCAAAAGAAACAAGAGGACAGGGTGAACGGGAAAAACTGACATTTGTGGAACCTCTATCTTCTCTCAGGCATTGTTTGACACGTTCCTTATTTCTTTCATTTACTCTTCACAACAATCTGGTGATGACTTATTACTCTGCTTTTCAAATGCTGAGAAAGAGAGGTTACATGACTAAGGGCACACGGGTAGGTATTTTAGATAAAATTAAATCCAAGGTCAACTTGCTCCCAAATCTAAAGCCTTTCCAGTCATCCATCAAGGTGGGAGTAGTGGACAAATTAACATTTGTATGGCACTTTTACAATTCCGTAGCAGTTTAACATTCATCTTCGAATCTTACATTTGCAAAGTACTTTCACAAAAATCCTCACTTTTGGGCCTCACAAAAGACTTAAAATTGAGAGGGCGAAAATGACCCAGTTCTAGGAAAGAGACCCCGAGAGCAGTCAGCTTTTTTTTGGCAGAGTAGTTAAATTCCTCTGTCCTGCAAGAATCCAAACTTGCCACCATGTGGATGCCCTTTGGGGATATCGATTGTAAGCTGTTAATTAAGAAACAAGATCAGAACTTTTGACCCTCCCCCCTTCCTTCCCCAGAGATTCAGACCGAGAGACATGCTCCTTAGGATGTTCACCTCGGCCTAATTTGAATTTAGTACGATAATTGTGAGGACTTCAGGCAGGGGTCTGTCTGCCAGATCCTCCTGTGTCCCATAGTTTCCGAGTCTCTGGCAAGGATTTTCCTGCCATACACATTCAGCTCAACTACCCATTCTCACTTACGAAACTAAGATCCCCCTATTGCCACTCTTTGTTATTTTGTCCAAAATATCAATGTAGCCTCACTGTCTTTGGGAATATTTATGCTCATGTGAATTTCCCATGTGCATTGTTTCTCCTGTTAATCTTTCTCTAATTTGATTATTAGCCCAGCCAGAGGAACTTAGAAGAGGGGAGGAAAAGTATAATATTTGTTTTGGCCCCCACAGTACTGAGCCTCTTCACCTTTAGTCTCTGTCTGTAGTTCTAACCAGTATGTGAGACTTCTAATTATTTTTGGCTCTAATCACCTCGGAAAAAGAAGAAGAGCTCAGACCCAGCACCTTTGGTTTAGGACGCGTGGAGAAAGGAAAGGATCTCGTTTTTCTCCCAGCCTCAGTCAACTGCCTCTTTCTAAAGTCTTTTCCTCACCTCCCTTTTTCTCCTGTTAGCATTTCCCTCTAGCCCTAATACTCGCCTCTTCAAAACCAGAACAGGCAACCCATTTCTTATTTCCATACTCCAATATAGAAGGCTGCAATCTTATCTAGGACTTTACTTTTTTAAAATCAAGTGTAGAGGAGAACATTCTAAGGCACATTTTTTTTTTTTTTTTAAAAATCCTCACCTGAGGACATTTTTTCATTTTTTGTTCAGATAGAGTGGGAGGGAGAGAGAGGAAGAGAGAGAGTGAGAAACATTGACGTGAAAGACACATTGAGTGGCTGCCACCCGCACGACCCAACCAGGGCCGGGGACAAACTGCAACCGAGGTACATGCCCTTAGTGGGAACCGAACCCGGGTCTCTCTGGACCACAGGCCAAGACTCTATCTGCTGAGCCAAACCGGCCAGGGCCATTTTTTTTTACTCTCAAAAGAATATATGCTCATGGTGACAGAGCAACATGAAGAGACAGGGACAGAAAACAAAGCCACTAAAATGGATTTACCTTCTTGCCTTTTGCGTTTTCCATACTGAGAAAAGAAGCCAAGGTTGATGAAAAGGAAAACTTCTTCCTTCTGAAATGGTCTCTGGCCTAGGATTGCTTTTTGAAAAGTCTCCTCCCACTTCCTGCCATCCAAAGGCACGTCTTCCCCCTCTTCCTTTCTGTTCCCTCCCCCACAGTTTGTGAATGCTAAGTATGTATGTTTTTGTTTTTGTTTTTCATTAGGGGGCTATTGTATGAATGAATCAAAACCATTCCAGGCCTTTTTCTGTGTGAGTTTTTCAACCTAAGTATCTAAGGTGTTTCCCAGGAGACCTCAGATCACTCTTCACCCCAAGCTGTCAGGGATCAGAGATAAGTGAAGACTTTCCTATATTCAGAACCAGTGACTGCTGGGACTCAAACCTTCCTTTGTCAGATTACAAAAATGGTTTCGTTCTTTTATTTTGTTTTGTTTTGCGTTCCTTGCTAGCCCTAAAATGATAAAGAAGATATGTTCTTACCCAGATGGAAGTGATAATCTACTCACAGTATAAAAATAGGTGGACACAGGGAGTAAATAAATGGAAGCTGGGAGTAGAGAAGAAGATGTAGGTGTGGGCTGGGCAAACCCCAGATTACTAGAGAGAAAAGCAAGGTCTAGATTATCTCGGAGGTCATAGCAGGGTGGGGTGGAGTGGGGTGGAGTGGGGTGGAGTGGGGTGGGGTGGGCTTTGGGTCATCAGCTTTACACCCTGGCTTATAGACAGCAACCATTAAAGACTTACCAGTTAAGGTATATATAAAAAGTGTTTGATTGAGTCACCTTTCTTTTCTAATGTAATTGAAAGTAGAGAGAAAAATATTGATGTGAGAGAAACATTGGTTGCCTCCCTACGCACCCTGACAGTAGTCAAAACTGGAACCTGGGTATGTACCCTCACAGGGAATTGAACCCATGACCTTTTGGTGCATGGGAGGATGCTCCAACTAACTGAGCCACCCGTCCTGGGAGAGCCAAATATTTTTTTCTCGGGCTTTGTTAAGGCGTGGTATTATAAGCAATCTTGGGCAAAGTATGATGTACCTGTGCTTTGGTTTCTCAAATGTAAAATAGAAATAACTGTGAGTTTATTTTTTTAAGATATTTTTTAACCCTAACCCTCCTGCATGCCCCCTACTGGGGATCAAGCCTGCAACAGGGAATGGAACTTGGTGCATGACACCACACTTAACCAACTGAGCCACACTGGCTGGGGCTATTGTGTGTGTTTTAAAGAGAAATAACTAACACTAATTTTTGTGCAAAATTTTTTACAAGTGCTTAGTAGTCAAAAGAAAAACTGTTTACTGCCTTCTGAAATGTTATGTCAATGCCCAATGTTCTATCCTGAGTTCCAAAATTATTCATAATTGATTCTCTTGTTCATCTATTGAAGAAAAATGTATTGGGTGTCTACTATGTGCTCTACACAGGAGATACAGTGGTGGAAAAAGCAAATGAGAACCCTGACCTCATGGCTTAAGAGAGACGAGATATTAAGCAAATAATATCAATAATAACATAAGCAAATGCTCTTTTACATGCTTTTTAAATGTATTATATTTATGTATATGTATTATCAAAACAAAGATAAACTGTTCAATTGAAAAATAGTAAAACTCCCCAAGTATGGCATTCTACAGTAGAGGTTTTGATCTCATCAAGAAGTCAGAAGCCTTTTCCAACATGGGCCCTGCAGAATGACTCTCACAAAGATGAGTGCCAGGAAGAAGGGCTGTTCTGCCATCAGTGAGGCTGTGACCAGAGAATACATCATCAACAGTCACAAACACATCCATGGAGTGGGTTTCAAGAACCGTGCCACTGGGCACTCAAAGAGATCTGGAAATTTGCCATGAAGGAGATGGGAACTCCAGATGTACACAGTGACACCAGGCTCA